CAGTAGCTGTTCCTTGAACAAGCTCCACATTTCAATTGTGCCCAGCCCCTGCAGTTTCCTTCTCCATCCTATGCATCCTAAATCTTGCCTCATCGCCTCATAGTTGCCTTTCCCCCAGCTATAACTCTTGCCCTGCTTTATATACCGATCCCTTTCCATCACTAAAGTAAACGTAACCGAATTGTGGTCACTATTACCAAAGTGCTCACCTACCTCCAAATCTAACACCTGGCCTGGTTCATTACCCAGTACCAAATCCAATGTGGCCTCGCCTCTTGTTAGCCTATCTACATACTGTGTCAGGAAACCCTCCTGCACACATTGGACAAAAACTGACCCATCTGAAGTACTCGAACTATAGCGTGTCCAGTCAATATTTGGAAAGTTAAAGTCCCCCATAACAGCTACCCTGTTACATTACACTTCACACTCCAGCCTCTCCCAGCTGTGGCCAGTCTCCACACCCAATACCATTGAGGTCAATCACTTCTCCGACAGGAACGCGCGTCACTCCCGCATTAACCAGTTCCTGCCCTATGATGGGTCTCCCTACACCACTTCACTGATGTCAGACAGACAACCAGACACCTCCATAGTTTGAACATTCCTCAGTATCTGACCAGAGCTTCCTACTTCACCAGTTAGACCTCAGTTCTGCCCTCTCTGTGGCAACCAGGACTCAGGGAATGAGTGAGACCACTTTGACCAGGGCCCCTCCTGCCTTGTACAGTCACCAGGAGCCAGTTTCTTTCTGTAAGCAGAGCCCCTTCCTCTGAATAATCCAGGGGCATCTGTGTCGGGAACCCACCCATTTCAAAGACTGAGCCTCCATCAGACGAGAGTAAGAGACAGTGCACCCTCAGGCGAGTTCCTCGTGTGGTGTTTTCCAGCCTGACAAGCCTATCACAGGCTCCCTGCACCCACCCCAAAGGTCACCCACCAGGCCGTGCTGAGATGGGTGAGCAGGCAGCAGGGATCGAACCCTGGCCCACTGGTACTCACCGGTGTATTTTTCTTCGTTCTAGCTGCTGTCTTGGATGACTACACGACGTGCGGCAGGGGAGAGCGATTAGCACTGGCGCTGGCGAGGGAAAAGATCAACAGCATCATCGAGGTGCCCGCCAAGGCTCGGGTTGAGGTGGAAATCTTTGAGCTGGGCCAGGACAGTCAGTACGAGGCGACAGATACCAGTAAGCGGGCAGGTGCTCTGAGATTTCTGTCACCAGCACTGTTTGAGGCACACCGCTCAGTGTCAACTCAATCTGTCTCTCATTCTTATCGATCTGTCTCTGCCTGTCCGCCTGTCTCTGTCTCTCTCTGTCCCTGCCTGTCCGCCTGTCTCTGTCTCTCTCTGTCCGCCTGTCTCTGCCTGTCCGCCTGTCTCTGTCTCTCCCTCTCTCTGTCCGCCTGTCTCTCTGTCTCTCTCTCTCTCTCTCTCTGCCTGTCTCCCTCTCTCTCTGTCCGCCTGTCTCTGTCTCTCTCTGTCTGCCTGTCTCTGTCCGCCTGTCTCTGCCTGTCCGCCTGTCTCTCTCTCTCTCTCTCTGTCCGCCTGTCTCTGTCTCTGCCTGTCCGCCTGTCTCTGTCTCTGCCTGCCTGCCTATCGCTGTCTCTCTTTCTGTCCGCCTGTCTCTGTCTCTCTCTGCCTGCCTGTCTCTGCCTGTCCGCCTGTCTCTGTCTCTCTCTCTGTCCGCCTGTCTCTGTCTCTGTCTGTCTGTCTCCCAGTCTCATCAACATGCAACAGATACTTTAGAGACTTTGTCAGATACTTTAGAAACTTTTAAGTGACTCTTGGATAGGCACATGGAGGATAGTAAAATGTAGGGTATGCAGGGTAGATTGATCTTAGTAGGATAATAGGTTGGCACAACTTTGTGGGCCAAAGGGCCTGTGCTGTGCTGTACTATTCTATGCTCTATGTAACAAAAACAGAAATTGCTTGAAGATCTCAACAGGTCTGGCAGCATCTGTGGAGAGAATTCAGAGTTAACGTTTCGGGTCCAGTGGCCCTTCATCAGAACTGATGGTAGCTGGGAAAAAGTTGGTATTCATGCCGAAGACAGGGTGGGGGTGGGAGGGGGGAAGAAGTAAATGATAGGTAGAGATGGAGTCCAAAGAAAGAGAGAGACAGGCAAAGGAGTGGGTAAAGTCAGCTGATGGAATGGATAGCTGCTAATGGGGGCTTTTAGTATCCGACAGTGGGTTGTGTACGTGTGGGATTGGGAATGGGAGAATGTGCCTAAAATCATTCAACCCGATATTGAGTTCAGAAGGCTGTAGAGTTCCTGAGAGGAAAGAGAGGTGCTGTTAATCCAGCTTGCGCTGAGCTTCGCTGGAGCACTGCAGCAAACCTGAGACTGAGAGATTGACCAGGGTACACAGTTTTGTGATAAAGTGACAGGCAACTGGAAGCTCAGGGTCATTTTTGCGAACAGTGTCACAAATCTGTCTCTCATTTTTATCAATCTGTCCGTGACTGACTTACAAGTAATTGCTTGGTAATACAGAACAGAAACGTTGCTCGATCAGATGGGCCGAGCAGTGGCAGATGGAGTTTAATTTAGATAAAATGTGAGGTGCTGCATTTTGTAAAGGCAAATCAGGGCAGAACTTATACACTTAATGGTAAGACCCTGGGGAATGTTGGCAAGCAAAAAGACCTTGGAATGCAGGTTCATAGTTCCTTGAAAGTGGAGTCGCAGGTAGACAGGGCGGTGAAGAAGGCGTTTGGTACGCTTGCCTTTATTGGTCAGTGCATTGAGGAGAGGATTTGGGAGGGTCATGTTGTGGCTATACAGGACATCTGTTTTTGGAATACTGCGCTCAGTTCTGGTCTCCCTGCTATAGGAAAGATGTTGTGAAACTTGAAAGGGTTCAGGTAAGATTTACAAGGATGTTGCTGGGGTTGGAGGGTTTGAGCTACAGGGAGAGGCTGAATAGGCTGGGACTATTTTCCCTGGAGCGTCGGAGGCTGAGGGGTGACCTTATAGAGGTTTATAAGATCATGAGGGACATGGATAGGGTGAGTAGTCAAGGTTTTTTCTTTTTAAATGTTGTAATTGTACCAGCCTCCACCACTTCCTCTGGCAGCTCATTCCATATACACACCACCCTCTGTGTGAAAAAGTTGCTCCTTGAGTCCCTTTTAAATCTTTCCCCTCTCACCTTAAACCTATGCCCTTTAATTATGGACTCCCCTACCCCTGAGAAAAGACTTTGACTATTCACCCTATCCATGCCCCATGATTTTATAAACCTTTATAAGGTCACCCCTCAGCCTCCGACACTCCAGGGAAAATAACCCCAGTCTATTCAGCCTATCCCTATAGCTCAAACCTTCCAAACCCTGCAACATCCTTGTAAATCTTTTCTGAACCCTTTCAAGTTTTACAACATCCTTCCTATAGCAAGGAGACCAGAATTGCACACAGTATTCCAAAAGTGGCCCTAACCAATGTCCTGTACAGCTGCAACATGACCCTCCCAACTCCTATACTCAATGAACTGACCAATAAAGGCAAGCGTACCAGACACCTTCTTCACCGCCCTGTCTACCTGCAACTCCACTTTCAAGGAACTATGAACCTGCACTCCAAGGTCTCTATTTGGCAATACTCCTCAGGACTTTACCATTAAGTGCAAAAGACCTGCCCTCATTTGCCTTTCCAAAATGCAACAGAGGCCAGCATCCAATCACTAATCACCCTTTATTTACAAATGCACAGTCTTTGACAATAGCATTTGTCTTGATCTACCAACCAGGACTGTTAGCCATGCCAGGCCATCCCCGTGGTTCCTGCACCAGACTTGGTCCTTTGTATCAAACTGTCTCTGTTGCTTGACAGAGTCTTGGGTTTGGCGATGGTGTTTCTGATGCTGTTTCATCCTTCCACCACTACCAACATCCCCCCCACCCATCTCCTCCAGGAAGATCAGATGTAGCCTGGAGCAGAGACTTCTCCCCATTAGCAACTCTGCTGGAGCCTTCTCTGTAGTTGCATGTCCTATAATCAAACAGGAGCCTGGGACAGCTTGGTATCTAGTGAGGCCAATGGCTGTTTCTACAGAGCCTGGATTGGTCTTTCTGCCAAGGTATCGGATGATGTGTGATATAGAACTGTCTTGATACAGTCTAGTTACTATTTAATGTAGAATGGGATTCCAGTCCTTGTTGGTAAATGATGGCCTGTTACCTGTGACAAAATACCTCCGGGACTCCATGCGTCGCTATATACGTGTGCGATTTTTCTATCGTTGCTCCGTTCTTTGACAAAATGGACCGTATGCATGTCCAAACACCTTGAGGGGATGGTAAGCATTGAACCCATGAAAGGACCTGCATAGTCAACGCGCAACTGAGTCTAAGGTTTACCTGGCCAGTTTTATGAGGCTGCTGGCTCTGTTAACACTCTGGGCACTGTCCCACCAATGCGGCCATGTCTGCATCCTAGCCTGGCCGCCAGGCGTAACCCCTGACCTATAGCATCATTTTGGAGACCCCTGAGATGGCCCTGGTAGCTCTCACTGAGAAAAACCACCCGCGCGCCCCATAACAATCTGCCATTGTCTACTGTGAGCTGGTCCCTCCAGGTCCAAAAGGCTCCCAGTTCTAGTTGCGGCAGTCCTTTGGTTTTCCCGACTAATGCCAGTTATTGCAGTTTTGGAAGGACTGGATCTTTCTGTGTCCAGAGTCTGATATTGTCAGCTGTAGCGCATCCAGAAAATTTAACATAATTTCAGACCCTTCCATTGAGAATACCACTGATGATGTATCTGCTAATAGGAAACAGCTCAATGCATCCACATTCACTACATGGCCTTCTGGACGATGTTCCTAAGTGTAATTATAGGCATTTATGTATTAGAGCCCACTGCTGAATGCAGCCCGAAGCTATGGGTGGCATGGCCTTGTCCTCTTTAAGTTGAGCCAGTGGGAGTTTGTCGCCCATAGTGGAACGTTGACTCCAAAAATTACCACCAATCCTTCTTTTTCTATCTGGGCACATTTACGCTCTGCGCTAGCCAAAGCCCTGGATGCATAAACTGGGCACTCCTCTCGAGTTGGCTGCTAATACCACCCCGATGCCATATGGGGAGGCATCATACTTCAATGTGAGATCTTTCTTGGCATCACAGTGCACCAACACCTTGGAGAATGATAACTGTTTCTTCACTCCCCAGAAAGCTAGGGCTTGTCTGTGCCACCATGTCCAAGGCTGACCCTTTGTGAGAAGATCATGCAAAGGTGCCAGGATAGATGCCTGATCATGTATAAACTTTCCATAATAAATCACTGGCCCAAGGAAAGACCTAAGCTCCAGTATGGATGTGGCAGTGAGACACCTCTGATCGTCCTCACTTTGTCTTCCAACGGGTGTAAGGAGTGTTGTCGACCATGTAACCCAGGTCATTTCACTTGGGGTGCCTGGAACGCACATTGTTCCCACCTGAGGCACACTGTCACCTTGGAAAAGTGCCTTGGAACTACAAGCAAGTTCTCTAAGTGCTCCTTACAAGTTTTCCCTGTCATTAGAATGTCCCTACTCGATGGCCTAGTGGTATTATCGTTGGGCTGTGAACCCAGAGACCCAGATAATGTTCTGAGGACCAGGTTCAAATCCCGCCATGGCAGATGGTGGAATTTGAATTCAATAAAAGTATCTAATGATGACCATGAATTAATTGTCGATTGTCAGGAAAACCCCATCTGGTTCACTAATGTACTTTAGGGAAGGAAACTGCCATCCTCACCTGGTCTGGCCTACATGTGACTCCAGACCCACAGCAATGTGGTTGACTCGTAACTGCCCTCTGGGCAATTAGGGATGGGCAATAAATACTGCCTGGCCAGTGAAGCTCTCGTCAAAAAACAATTCAGGTAAGTAGCGACCTGAGGTAGCTCTTGAAAAATATTCTCCATTGTCCACTGACAAATTATACAGGCTGACGCTATGCCATTGCCAGTCTGGTATATCGCTACAAGCCCTCACGGGTATTAACTGTCGCATATTTCTGGGAATCCTCATCTGATCACAACTGCAAATAAGTGTGGCTCACGTCCAATTTTGTGAAGGACAGGCGCCCCTCACCCCACCCACCAGCTTTGTGCGTAAATCCTCTATGTGAGGGATTAGGTATCTACGTGATGGTGAGAAACAGTTCACTGTTTTTGTCTAAAATCTCCACAAAGGTGAAGCAACCCATCAGGCTTTACAGTTGGTACGGGTGGAGCTGGTTTATTGAGGGTCCCGACCCGAAACGTCAGCTTTCCTGCTCCTCTGATGCTGCCTGGCCTGCTGTGTTCCTCCAGCTCCCCACCTTGTTCTCTCAAACTCCAGCATCGACAGTTCTCACTATCTCTGGTTTTTTGATTCCTTCACTTTCCAGCGTCCTGATTTCTGCCTCTACTTTTGCTTGGAAGGTACTGGGCATGCCTTGCGGAATTCCTTCCAGGCCAACATGCAAGGTGGCCTCGCCTCCTCTGACCATCCCTAGTCATTCTTGGAAACTTCTGGGTGTTTAATTAGGACTTTGCTCAGGGGGCCAATTGTGAAATGTTGAGCCAGTCAATCACTCACCACCAATACTGTTCCGTCAAGGATCCTCAAGAAAATTGTAAAATAGCACGGCCTCCCACTGAGACAGGCGTTCACAGCTCAATATCCCTGACACTCATCGTTTTATGTCAGCCAGGGCTCCCTGATTGGATCAGGATCCCAGCTCCAATCGGGGGAACTCACATTCTGTGAGGTCCACCTGGCTGACCTCATTACAATCACAACGGGAGTACTACGTGGGAAAATGTGAAGTTAGTTGTTTTAGAAGGGAGAACAAAAAGTACTATATAAGTGGAGAGTAAACTGCAGAAAGCTGCAACACAAAGGGACTTTGTGCACAAAATACTGAAAGCTGGCACACAGGGGCAAGCAGGTAATCAGGAAGGGCAGAGGGAATGTTGGCCCTTATTTCCAGGGTGTTGGAATATACGAGTAGGGAAGTCTTATTGCAAATGTACAAGGTGTTGGGGAGATCACATCTGGAGCACTGTGAGCAGCTTTGTTCCTCTTATTTAAGGAAAGAAATCATTTCATTGGAGGCAGTTCAAAGAAGGTTCATTTGGATCATCCCCAATATGGAGGGATTGCCTTATGAACAAAGGTTAAACAGACAGGGGACTCTACTCACTGGAGTTTGGAAGAACGTGAGGTGATCTCATTGAAACATACAGGGACCTGAGAGAGTCAATGCTGGGAGGATGTTTCCCCTCATGGGAGAGTCTAGGACCAGAGGGCACAGTCTCAGAGTAAAGGGGGCACCCATTGAAGACTGAGATGAGGAGGAATTGCTTCTCCCTGAGGGTTGTGAGTCTTGCCGCGGAGAGCTGTGGGGGCAGAGTCCTTGTGTATATTTAAGGCCGAGACAGATAGATTCTTGATCAGTCGGGGAATCGAGGGAAAGGTCAGGAAAGTGGACGTGAGGAATGTCAGATCAGCCATGATCCTATTGGACAGGGCAGAGCAGGATCGAGGGGCCCAACAGCCTCCCCCCACATGCCCAGACAGTACGTTTCAGACCCTAACCCCTCAAGTGAACCTGCCTCCCCTACACACTCTCAGACAGTACATTCCCAGACCCTAACCCCTCAAGTGAACCTGCCTCCCCTACACACTCTCAGACAGTACGTTCCAGACCCTAACCTCTTGAGTGGATCAGTGTCGAGGACTCTCCCCATGTTAAATAAAAGGTGACTTGGTGATGGGATACCGGCCTCTGTGGAACAATTTCAATGGGCATGAATTAGTTGGAAGCTGTGAGTGGACCAGAGGTTCACAGCCGGAGTAAAAATCACCGCAATTGGACAACAGGTTAGAACGAGCCATGTACGTAGCATCTTTTGTGGACAGAGAGAGAGAATTGAAAAATGGGGTAAATCAGTATTTAATCTTACTTAACCTTTCCGTTTTGTGCATGTAAATGGCTTTCTGATTGGAATACAAAGTAATCTTTTATGTTCTTCAGAGGAATCATGTCTGAATGAGTGGGAAGCTCTGTGTGTGTGTGTGTGTGTGTGCGTGCCTGTGTATGTGCCTGTGTGTGTGTCTGTGTGTGTGTATGTGTGTGTGGATATGTGTGTGTCTCTGTGTATGTGTGTTTCTGTGTTTAAGTGTGTGTGTGTGTGACTGTCTGTTTGTGTCTCTGTGTGTGTCTGACTGTCTATGTGTGCCTTTATGTATATGTGTGTGTCTGTGTGTGTGTATATGTATACCTCTCCCTCTGTGTTTCTGTCTCTTTCACTTTGTCTTTCTCTCTCTCTCTCTGTCTCTTTTGCCGTTTCTCTTTTCCTCTGTCTCTTTCTCTTTCTCTATCTCTACATAGAACAGCAACAACATAGAACAGCACAGGAACAGGCCCTTCTGTCCCACCATCTCTGCACTGACCCTGATGCCATTCTAAACTGATCCCATTTGCCTCCTCAGGACCTGGATCCCCGTGTTCCCTGCTGGGCTAAGTGTCTGACTAAATGCCTCTTAACTGTTTCTATTGTATCTGCTTCTACTACCACCTCACATTCCAGGAATCTAACACTCTCTGCTTTCCTCGCACATCTTCTTTAAACTTACCCCCCTCTCATATTTGAACATAAGCCCCTAGCAGTTGACATTTCCAATCTGGGAAAAAGATTACAGACTACCTCCCAGTCTCTCATAATTTTATATTCTTCTATCTGGTTTCCCCCTTCAGCCTCCGACTCTCCAGCAAAAACAATCCAAGTCTGTCCAACCTCCTTATAGCTAACACACTGCAATGCAGACAGCATCCTGGTAAACCTCTTCTGCACCCTCTCCAAATCCCCTATATCCTTCCTATAGTGTGGTGACCAGTACACAATATTCCAAATGTGGCTGAACTCAAGTCTTATCCAGCTGCAACAGAACTAGCCAACATTTTTATACTCAGTGCCCCTCTCTCTCTCTCTCTCTGTCTCTCTATCATTCTCTCTCTCTCTCTGTCGCTGTCTTCCTGTCCCTTTGGGTCTGTCTCTCATTCTCTCTCTCTGTCTGTTGCTCTGGCTCTGTCTCTCTTTTTCTCTCTCTGTCCCTTTGGGTCTGTCTCTCTCTCTCTCTCGCTCTCTTTCTCTGTCTCTCTCTGCCTCTCTCTCTGCCCTTCTGTCTCTGTCTCTATTTCTCTCTCTCCTCCTCTCTGTATCTCTGCCTCTCTCTCTCTCTGCCTCTCCCTCCATGTCCCTCTGTATCCCTCTCTCACTTTGTCCTCTCTCCCTCTCTCTGTCTTTGAGCCCTTTGTCCATGTTTCTGTTCACCTTTCCTGTTATTCTCGTCATGGTGTTGGTGTTTACTGTAGTCGGGTAATGATCCTCTGCAATGTGACTGGATGGTTTATGATACTAAAGGCGTACATAAATGCCAGGCACATTTGTTGTTAGACTCAGATGTAGTTCCTCCTGTCCTGCTCGGAACACGGGGAACCATTGATGTCAGATCCTTGCCATTAACCACGCTCCCTGTCTGTGTTGCTGTCTTCTTCCACAGTGTGTCAGATTCTGCCCAAGGGTGTGGCAGCCATTTTGGGGCCTTCGTCAAGTCCAGCATCTGGAGCCTTCATTAGTCACATCTGTGGAGAGAAAGAGGTAAACAAGATGGCGCTCGAAGGAGGGGGAGGAATGGTGAGCGGGAGAGGTATCCGAGGCCTGGGAATCTGGGATGAGTGCCAAGAGAGAGAGGGAGCAGTGTGGGGCGATTGAAGGGGACTAGGAGAAGGAAGCTGTGGGTCAGTTCAGGAAGGAGGTCCAGCTCTGGGAGGCATGGGGTATCAGCAGGGCCAGTGTTTGGGGCTTCATCGGATTTGGGAAGTTCTAGGACAGGGAGGGATGGGCGCAGAATGGGTACAACCTGGAGTGGGAATGGGTCACACAGCTCTCCACCTCACATTCCAGGAACCTAACACTCTCTGCTTTCCTCGCACATCTTCTTTAAACTTACCCCCCTCTCATATTTGAACATAAGCCCCTAGCAGCTGACATTTCCAATCTGGGAAAAAGATTACAGACTACCTCCCAGTCTCTCATAATTTTATATTCTTCTATCTGGTTTCCCCCTTCAGCCTTCTCCTTGAGAGGGACGCTGTAGGGGTGGGTAAGGGAGTGGGCAGTTACAGGAATGTAAATTGTATAGAAAATGGTTCAGTATTTCCATTGTAGTACAGTGAAAGTCCAGATAATGAAGTCTCCCGGTGTGGAAACACCACTTGGAGCCCCGATGGAGGGACATGGCACCCAGAGTGAAAGCCCGACCAAAACGCAGACTTGCACAGCCAGAGGAAATGGTAGATGAGGGGGTAGTTATACCAATAGCTTCACTTTCTTGCGACATGTGGAGCCTTAAAGTCTTCTATTCCACTCAGCCAAACTTAGCAAACCATGATTCCTCCAAGGGGTGCATGACAAAAATCCCCAGAGGGCACTAGCTCACACCGAGTCACCGAATGAAAATGTACTAATCACACACAGACAGGGGTAACAAGGCAGGAGACTCTCCCAGGGAACATTCAATTGGAGATGAGGTACAATCCATTGGACAGAGATCACAGTCAGACACAGTGATTGTGACTGGCAGACTGTAAACTCTCACAATATGAACAGACTGTACTCTCAGGCACAGGTATCAAGCCATCACAGCAATCTCTGTGACTGAGTGAGGGTCTGTCTCTCTCTCTCTCCCTGGGACAGGGTGAGGGTCTGTCTCTCTCTCTGGGACAGGGTGATGGTCTCTCTCTGGGACAGGGTGAGGGTCTCTCTCTCTGGGACAGGGTGAGGGTCTCCCCCTCTGGGACAGGGCAAGAGTCTGTCTCTGGGACAGGGTGAGGGTCTCTCTCTCCCTGTGGGACAGGGTGTGGCGCTCTCTCAGGGACAGGGTGAGGGTCTCTCTCTCTCTCCCTGGGACAGGGTGAGGATCTCTCCCTGGGACGGGGTGAGAGTCTCTTCCTAGGACAGGTTGAGGGTCTCTTTCTGGGACAGGGTGAGGGTCTGTCTCTGGGACAGGGTGAAGGTCTCTCTCTCTGGGACAGGGTAAGGGTCTGTCTCTGGGACAGGGTGAGGGTCTCTCTCTCTCTCTGGGACAGGGTGAGGGTCTCTCTCTGGTGCAGAGTGAGGGTCTATCTCTGGGGAGGAGTGAGGGTCTGTCTCTGGGACAGGGTGAGGGTCTCTCTCTCTCTGGGACAGGGTGAGGATCTGTCTCTCTGGGACACATTGAGGGTCTCTCTTTGGGACAGCGTGAGGGTCTCTTTCTGGGACAGGGTAAATGTCTGTCTCTGGGACAGGGTGAGAGGTCTCTCTCTGGGACAGTTTGAGGTTCTCTCTCTCCCTGGGACAGGATGAGGGTCTCTCCCTCGGACAAGTTGAGGGTCTCTCTCTCTCTGGGACAGAGTGAGGGTCTCTCCCTGGGACAGGTTGAGGGTATCTCCATGGGACAGGGTGAGAGTTTGTCTCTGGGACAGGTTGAGGGTCTTTCTCTGGGACAGGATGAGGGTCTCTCTCTCTCTCCCTCTCTGGGACAGGGTAAGGGTCTCTTCTCTCTCTGGGACAGGCTGAGAGTCTCTCTCTGGGACAGGGTGAGGGTCTCTCTCTCTCTCTCTCTGGGACAGGCTGAGTATCTGTCTCTGGGACAGGGTGAGGGTTTGTCTCTGGGACAGGGTGGGGGTCTCTCTCTGGGACAGGGTGAGGGTCTGTCTCTGGGACAGGGTGAGGGCTTGTCTCTGGGACAGGGTGAAGGTCTCTCTCTCTGGGACAGGGTAAGGATCTGTCTCTGGGACAGGGTGAGGGTCTCTCTCTCTCTCTGGGACAGGGTGAGGGTCTGTCTCTCTCTGGGACAGGGTGAGAGTCTCTCTCTCTCTGGGACAGGGTGAGGGTCTGTCTCTCTGGGACAGGGTGAGGATCTCTCTCTCTCCCTGGGACAGGATGAGGTTCTCTCCCTTGGACAAGTTGAGGGTCTCTCTCTCTGGGACAGCGTGAGGGTCTCTCCCTGGGACAGGGTGAGAGTCTTTCTCTCTCTGGGACAGGGTGAGGGTCTGTCTCTGGGACAGAGTGAGGGTCTCTCTCTCTCTGGGACAGGGTGAGGGTCTCTCTCTGGGACACAGCGAGGGTCTCTCTCTGGGACACGGCGAGGGTCTCTCTTTGGGACAGGCTGAGGGTCTGTCTCTCTCTCTCTCTCTGGGACAGGCTGAGTGTCTCTCTCTGGGACAGGGTGAGGGTCTGTCTCTGGGACACGGTGAGGGTCTCTCTCTGGGACACGGTGAGGGTCTCTCTCTGGGACAGGGTGAGGGTCTGTCTCTGACTGAATGCTCTTTAGAGAATTACTGAAGTGATGCTGGTTTGGGGCTTGTGGTGGAATCGGACTGTGCGGTCAGCTTCCCGTTGTCTTCCCCCTGAACCCGTCTTTGTTCGTCCTTTTCCTGCAGATTCCCCACATAAAGGTGGGTCCAGAGGAGACTCCAAAGCTGCAGTATCTCCGATTTGCCTCGATTAGCCTGTACCCCAGCAACGAGGACATCAGCCTGGCCGTGAGCAGTATCCTGAAGTTTTCCAGCTGCCCGTCTAGCAGTCTCGTCTGTGCAAAGGCAGAATGTAAGGAGGGTGTGTGTGTATTCACTCATTCAACGCAGGTCCCTGAAATCACATCGCTCCCAGTCTGCTTCCTCTCCATTTCCATCTGTTTGCTTCCTCACTCCTCCTCAGCTCACATCGTTGTCTCTGCACTCTGCTAATCCATCTCCCTCCTGCTCCTCTGATGCTGCTTGGCCTGCTGTGTTCATCCAGCCCTGCATCTTGTTGTCTCTCTGCTGTCGATGCATCTTCCTCATAGTGCCCCGACCCTCCATTCACAGCCATCCCATACCCTCGGCTCTCCTGACATTCCCACGCTGTGTCTGACTAATTAACCTGTGTGTTTAGGACATTATCTCAAACACCTCTCACCTACCGGCTCTCCACCACAACCGGCCCAATCGCTGAGTTAGAACGACGCACAATAGTCGATCTGAAAATGATGCTTTCAAACTCACGAGCTGCCAAAAGCTAAACATTTTCCCATTGCATTGGCAGTGATCAGTTTATCGAACCACTTCAGTGCAGGGCACTCAGGGAGTGGAGGGTCAGTGCTGAGGGAGCGCCGCACTGTCGGAGGGTCAGTGCTGAGGGAGCGCCGCACTGTCGGAGGGTCAGTGCTGAGGGAGCGCCGCACTGTCGGAGGGTCAGTGCTGAGGGAGAGCCGCACTGTCGGAGGGTCAGTGCTGAGGGAGTGCCGCACTGTCG